CATACTCTCTCCTCATACTCTCTCCTCATACTCCCTCCTCATACTCTCTCCTCATACTCTCTCCTCACATACTCTCTCCTCATACTCCTCCTCATACTCCTCCTCATACTTTCTCCTCAGACTCTCTCCTCATACTCTCTCCTCATACTCTCTCCTCATACTCCCTCCTCATACTCCCTCCTCATACTCTCTCCTCATACTCCCTCCTCATACTCTCTCCTCATACTCTCCACATACTCTCCTCATAGGCTCTCCTCAGACTCCCTCCTCATACTCTCTCCTCATACTCTCTCCTCATACTCCCTCCTCATACTCTCTCCTCATACTCTCTCCTCATACTCTCTCCTCATACTTTCTCCTCAGACTCCCTCCTCATACTCTCTCCTCATACTCTCTCCTTATACTCTCTCCTCATACTCTCTCCTCATACTCTCTCATACTCTCTCCTCATACTCCTCCTCATACTCTCTCCTCATACTCCCTCCTCATACTATCTCCTCATACTCTCTCCTCATACTCTCTCCTCATACTTTCTCCTCAGACTCCCTCCTCATACTCTCTCCTCATACTCTCTCCTCATACTCTCTCCTCATACTCTCTCCTCATACTCTCTCATACTCTCTCCTCATACTCCTCCTCATACTCTCTCCTCATACTCCCTCCTCATACTATCTCCTCATACTCCCTCCTCATACTCTCTCCTCATACTCTCTCCTCATACTCCCTCCTCATACTCTCTCCTCATACTCCCTCCTCATACTCTCTCCTCATACTCTCTCCTCATACTCTCTCCTCATACTCCCTCCTCATACTCTCTCCTCATACTCTCTCCTCATACTCCCTCCTCATACTCTCTCCTCATACTCCCTCCTCATACTCTCTCCTCATACTCTCTCCTCATACTCTCTCCTCATACTCCCTCCTCATACTCTCTCCTCATACTCCCTCCTCATACGCCCTACTCCTTCATACTCTCTCCTCATACTCCCTCCTCATACTTCCTCCTCATACTCTCTCCTCATATTCTCTCCTCATACTCTCTCCTCATACTCCCTCCTCATATGCCCTACTCCTTCATACTCTCTCCTCATACTATCTCCTCATACTCCCTCCTCATACTCTCTCCTCATACTCTCTCCTCATACTCTCTCCTCATATTCTCTCATTCATACTCTCTCCTCATACTCTCTCCTCATACTCCCTCCTCATACTCTCTCCTCATACTCCCTCCTCATACTCTCTCCTCATACTCTCTCCTCATACTCCCTCCTCATACTCTCTCCTCATACTCCCTCCTCATACTCTCTCCTCATACTCTCTCCTCATACTCCCTCCTCATACTCTCTCCTCATACTCCCTCCTCATACTCTCTCCTCATACTCCCTCCTCATACGCCCTACTCCTTCATACTCTCTCCTCATACTCCCTCCTCATACTTCCTCCTCATACTCTCTCCTCATATTCTCTCCTCATACTCTCTCCTCATACTCCCTCCTCATATGCCCTACTCCTTCATACTCTCTCCTCATACTCTCTCCTCATACTCCCTCCTCATACTCTCTCCTCATACTCCCTCCTCATACGCCCTACTCCTTCATACTCTCTCCTCATACTCTCTCCTCATACTCTCTCCTCATACTCTCCACATACTCTCCTCATAGGCTCTCCTCAGACTCCCTCCTCATACTCTCTCCTCATACTCCCTCCTCATACTCTCTCCTCATACTCTCTCCTCATACTCTCTCCTCATACTTTCTCCTCAGACTCCCTCCTCATACTCTCTCCTCATACTCTCTCCTCATACTCCCTCCTCATACTCTCTCCTCATACTCCCTCCTCATACTCTCTCCTCATACTCCCTCCTCATACGCCCTACTCCTTCATACTCTCTCCTCATATTCTCTCCTCATACTCTCTCCTCATACTCCCTCCTCATATGCCCTACTCCTTCATACTCTCTCCTCATACTCCCTCCTCATACTCTCTCCTCATACTATCTCCTCATACTCTCTCCTCACATACTCTCTCCTCCTCATACTCCCTCCTCATACTCTCTCCTTCATACTCTCTCCTCATACTCCCTCCTGCTCATTCAAGCCGAGGCATTCCCAGTTGTGAGACATAGTCCAGAGCGTCAACTCATCTGCCTCATGAACTAGCAGGGGTTCTACTCTGAGCTCCTCTCATGTGTATGAGTTCCCATAAAGCCAGATAATGGCAGACCTTTGATGATAAGCAGGGCAGGGCCTGGTTAGTACTGTGATGGGAGACCTCTGAAAACACCAGGTGCCACAGTGCGGCAGCTGCAACTGTAAAGTACCAAACTGTTTTTTAGTCCTTAGGCAAGACACTTCCTCCACATTAGAATGAGTCTGGTGTGTGTGTGTGAATGGTTGGTGGTGGTGGGAGGGGCCAATGGCACAGACTGGTTGCCTCGCTTCTGTCAGTGTGCCCCAGGGCAGCTGTGGCTACAGTAGTAGTTTATCTGTGTTTGGAGTGAAAGAATAATGACATGAGACTTTGAGTGTCCAATTATTTGTATTATTATTATTACATCACGACAGGTAATTTTCTGAACACATTTCTGTGCGACTGGTCGACGCTCTCATAAAAAAGACAAACTCTCTTCATGTTTGGGGCGAACGTAGAAACTTAAGCTGCCTATTTTCTGAAGATTGTTCCCGGTCGAATGAAAAGCAGCCAGAGAGAAAAACCATGTGACTGTTGTGATTGGGTGATGTGCTCAGGGGGGAAGCGCGCCACCTGCATTAACACTACACTTTTGTAACAGCAAAGTCCCTCATGGAAACACTGGAAGTTACAGCATTATAGTTTCTAGAGTTTATATTTTATACAAAGGATTCTAACTCCAGTTTGTGCACTTTGATTTACTGAAGCCGTTATCAGGACGTTACTGTGGCGACGGTTCTGCGATGGATACGGCCCACAACAGGTTTTTGTAGTAGTCGAGTCCAAGTTCTGTTTCCAGTCTTTTTGCAATATTTGAGTTTGTAAATGTATATATTGTTTGCTGGTGTACAATGAACACAATAAACACTTTTAATTAGTCTGGAAGATTCGATGGTCTCCCTTCCACTCATCTCCAAAAGCTGTAATACATCCAGAACTCTGCTACCCACTCCAGAGACCACATCACCCCTAGCCTGGTCTTACCATACCATCGTACGAATTTCATTTTGTACTAAGGGGTTTATTTGCTCTATTGAGCTCCGTTAACAGGTGGGAGATTCTCCTTTTGCAGATTGAAACAATTGGATCTGAGTTTATGGTAATGTACGAAATGCGCCCGAGTGTGCATTACATGCGCTAGCATTTAACCTAGCATCTCCTTTGCCACTAAGGAGCCTGTGTAGAGCCGCGACATCTTTGCCAGCAGAGAAATCTGCTAAACATTCCACTTGCTCCGGCTAAAAATTCTGGATATTTTGAGCCGAACCTGAAAAGATTACTTTACTCTTGCATTCGCCGTCATCGCCAAACTACAACCAGAAAATTCGGCGCAAACTCTTGACGTCACCTATATCTATCAACAACACCCGCTGATTGGTCAGATGGGACACAACTGTGGAAACTGCAGCCACAGGGACCAGACCCAGACTTACATGTAGGAAATGATAATGGACCAGAGTATAGGATGGTTAAGGCCAGGTCAAATCACCCCCATCCTTAAGCAACTCCACTGGCTCCTCCCCCACACCGCATGCAATATAAGGTCCTCCTCATCAACCCTGACGGCCGAATCTGAACCTGAGGACCTTATGAATCGGTGAGGACCTTCTTAACCCTAAGATTGATTGTGGCCATACCTGCAGGTGAAATCCAGCTATCGTCATACCTATGAAGCTAAGCAGGGCAGGCCCTGGTCAGTTTTATGATGCGAGACCTCTGGGAACACCAGGTGCCACCGTGGGGCGGCTGTACCGTGCCAAATGGTGGTTGTGCCCTTAAGCAAGACACTTCACCCACATTAGAATGAGTTTGGTGTGCGTGTGAATGGTTGGTGGTGGTGGGAGGAGTCTGGTTGCCTTGCTTCTGTCAGTGTGCCCCAGGTCAGCTGTGGCTACAGTAGTAGTAGTTTTTCTTGTGAAAAAATAATGGCATTTGAATCGTCTTTGAGCATCCAGAAAAACACAGTATAAAATAATGTATTATCATTATTACTCTTTTATGACTTCATTATTGAGTGTTATTACAATATTATACTGTTACTTCTTGTAAGTATGCAATGCTAATGTTTTTGTTTAGATTAAGACTAAGGAGGAAAACAATACTTTATATTATTTGTTAGAAAATAATGAAACGTCAGGTCGGCCAACTCCTTTATATTCTCTCTATGTTTAGATACAAATCAAAAGGTACATCATTGAATGTACTATACCAAAAAATACGCTCTAAACAATCTGGAAAACTTGTGCTTTTTATAATAAATGCAGGGACTACTGCTCTGATGCACTGCCTTTAGGGTGCACCGCTGTGACATGAACACAAGAGGGCGCTGCGCTCTCACGGCACAGACCTGCTGTTCTCCTGATGAGGCTGAGCTGCGCTGTCTGCATCTCTGTCCTGTGGCACCTGTCCCCCTGTGTCCCCCTGTGTCCCTCTGTGTCCCTCTGTGTCCCCTGACAGCTCTGTTCTGCTCTGTGCGCAGGTATGAGCGCGTGCTGAGTTGTGCCCACGCATGCGCGCTCCCCCTCCCTCGCACACGCGCTGGTGTCTCGCGCGCACGCACACTCTGCACCCGTGTTCTGCTCCCTCCTGCTCCTGCTGCCTCCTGCTGAGGGCTCTGATGGGGATGTGGATGTGACATGTCCGCGGGAGAATGGGCTCTCTCGGGACAGCCTCGGTGACAGCCTCGGTGACTGCCTCGGTGACACGCGCCCCTCTCGTGCTCTTCTCGGGGTAATTCTCCGGTTCGTGATTGCTGGGCGCGCGCGGTCTGACGAGAAGCACAAGCCTTCCACGTTCAATGCCGTTGGAACATGTCCTATGTTCCCTTTCAAGGTAAGACGTAAGACGTAAGATGTCCCTGTGTCACAGTCTATGGTCTGTCCACTGTCCCCTATGTCAGTCCCTGTCCCCTCCGTCAGTCCCTGTCCCTGTCCCCGGTTCCCGTCCAGTGCGTCTGTCTGCGGATGCAGCGACAGGTGCGTCCGTCCCCCGCGCTCTGTGCCCACACGCGCGCGTATTCGTCCAGTTCAGAGGCGCAGCGTGTGGCCGTGCGTGAAAGTGCATGTGTGTGTGCGCGTGCCGCATCACTGTAGTAATATGAGTGCGCGTGACGTGACTCTGTCATTCACAGAAGCTCAGGCTCGTATCAGTGAGAGTTAGGCCTGTGGACCTGTGCATCAGCCTTCAGTCTATCATGGTCTTCATGGACCTACAGCAGGGGCCTCATGCATCCATAGTAGGGGCCTCATGGACCTATATCAGGGGCCTCATGCATCTACAGTAGGGGCCTCATGGACGTATATCAGGGGCCTCATGAATCTATAGTAGGGGCCTCATGGACCTATAGCAGGGGCCTCATGCACCTACAGTAGGGGCCTCATGGACCTATATCAGGGGCCTCATGCATCTACAGTAGGGGCCTCATGGACCTATAGCAGGGGCCTCATGGACCTATTGCAGGGGCCTCATGCACCTATAGCAGGGGCCTCATGAACCCATTGCAGGGGCCTCATGCACCTACAGCAGGGGCCTCATGCATCTACAGTAGGGGCCTCATGGACCTATAGCAGGGGCCTCATGGACCTATTGCAGGGGCCTCATGCACCTATAGCAGGGGCCTCATGGACCTATTGCAGGGGCCTCATGCACCTACAGCAGGGGCCTCATGCATCTACAGCAGGGGCCTCATGGACCTATAGCAGGGGCCTCATGGACCTATAGCAGGGGCCTCATGGACCTATTGCAGGGGCCTCATGCACCTACAGCAGGGGCCTCATGCATCTACAGCAGGGGCCTCATGGACCTATAGCAGGGGCCTCATGGACCTATAGCAGGGACCTCATGCACCTATAGCAGGGGCCTCATGGACCTACAGCAGGGGCCTCATGCACCTACAGCAGGGGCCTGACTTGGATTCTCAGCCTACACTGTGGTTCTGGACCTAAGGACCAGCCTGTGCCTGTGATAATGAGTGGCTAATGTGGCTGTAGTACATACTTTGTTGTAAAGTTCTATTGCTTTAAATGCACCTATGACTCGGAATCTGAGGAGCACAGGGACTGGCCTCCTCCTGGGACTCTGAGGAAGCACAGGGACTAGACTCCTGCTGCTGCAAAGACTCAGGACTAAACATCTGGAACAGTCTTCCTGAAAATGTTCAAATCCAGGTTAAAATAGTTCTGTTTAGCTGCTACAACAGAGGGATTTTACTTATCACTCTTTTAACTGTACTATAATTAATTATGTTTTGTTCAGCACTTTGAGTTGCAATGCGTATGAACTGTGATAAACAAACAATTCATGAGCCTCTGTGTGACTGAGTAGCTGTGTAATGTGCCCATGAGAGCCTGTGGGACCTGCTCTGACCTTAGTTACAGTTACAGTTACTGTTATGGTTTCAGTTACGGTTACAGTATTTGTGTTCATTTGGACCCTTCAGCATGGTCTTGAGAATACTTAGTTTGGCGTTTCATGTTTTAGAATCTAGAATAATGTCTTAGCAAATATATGATAAACAAGACACATGCAGTAAGAGATGACTAGAATGTCCCAACGTTTCCATCTAGTGGTGAAAGGTTGGATGTGACTGGAGAAATGAGAGAAACATTATTTTGTCCATTTTTATTTTTCAATTCAATTCAATTTACTTACACATTTCATCAAACAGTTCAAACACAGGAAATGCAATGATAAAAAACACATAAAGGCTTTGGTCCAGCAGGAGCCGAGTCTACCGTCTGGAATATCCTGGATCATCTTCTGCATCAGAGGTCCACTTTGAGGGAGGGATGCGCTCCCTCGGACGGGCTTTAGATCCAGGACTGAGTCTGTAGATCCAGGACTGAGGCTGTAGATCCAGGACTGAGGCTGTAGATCCAGGACTGAGTCTGTAGATCCAGGACCAAGACAATGCAATGCGGGACCAAGGCGGCTCCCAGGCTGGAGGGGTGGACAGTCCTTAGGTGCAGATGGAGGAGGCTGGGTTCAGGGGTCCCATCATCATGCCATAAAACAGACAATGGGACAGCGGGTGAATAGCAATGAACCGACTACAGCTGAAGTCATAATGATGACAGATATAATAGAAGAGGACAGTGCTGTTACCAGACTTCTCCAGCAGGGGGCTCCATATGCAGCATCATCGACAATCTGTGTTTTTAGACTACAGATTGGATTTCTGAGTCTTCCCTGAGTCTTACCTTCCTAACCATCTGCTGAAGTAAAGAGAACTGTTTTAAGCCTGGCCTTAGCTCCAAGCTCCCACAGTAAAGGAGCTTGGAGCTAAATGCTCTGTCTCCGACTGCACTTTTTGACTCTTTAGGACCCAGCAGGCGTTGGTTGGTATGACACTAACGTGTCTTGGAGGTAGAAGGAGCCATGCTTTTTATAGCTTTGTATGTTAGAAATTTAAATTTAATTCTATATGCCACATGATGCCAATGTAGTGATTTTAACACCAGAGTTATGTGCTCCCTCCTTTTGGTGCCTGTTAAGATCCTTGCTGCTGTATTTTGAACGAGCTGGAAGCTCTTTATAGAGAATTTAGGGCACGCTGCCAGCAGGGCAGAGATTCAGATCCAAGTGCGATTGTCGTTGTTTGAGTTAGATTTCACAGAACTTCTCAACTCCACAGAAGTCTTACATCTGTGTATCTTGGTTGCTGTGATGTGATCTTTCACCGTTAGCTGTTAGCTCCTGTCTCCTCTCTGGCCTCTGATCTCTTTGCTCTGGTGGTCAGGTGGTCTCTGAAGGGATCAAGTACTCTAGTGACCATGTTTGCCTCTGCTACCTACATATATACACACTGTACCTAGAAACCTACATCCTGTTCCTAAATGCATACATTCTGTACCTACATACTATACCTACATACTGTACATTACTAAATACTATACCTACATACTGTACCTACATACTGTACATGACTACATACTGTACCTACATACTGTACATGACTACATACTGTACCTACATACTGTACATTACTAAATACTGTACCTACATACTGTACCTACATACTGTACCTACATACTATACCTACATACTGTACATGACTACATACTGTACCTACATACTATACCTACATACTGTACATGACTACATACTGTACCTACATACTATACCTACATACTGTACATGACTACATACTGTACCTACATACCTAGATACTTTACCTACATACTTACATACTGTACCTACATACCTAGCAGTACATAACATTTATTCTGATATTTGTAGTGTGAAAAGTCCTGTTTGGTCCTGTTTGGTTCTGTTTGGTCCTGTTTGGTCCCGCTTGGAGCAGATCTTCATCAGTGAGATGGGATGACGGTAGTTTCAGAGTTGTAGGTTCTCCTGGTTCTCATGGTTCTGACAGCCCTGTGCTCAGTGTGTGGGTGCAGGCTGCCAGCCTCTCATCTCTGCAACTGTGACTAATGCTGTGTGAGCTCAGCAATACACATCCTCTGAACACACACACACACACATACTACACACACAAACACACTCATACATACACACATACCACACACACTCACACACTACCACAAACATGCTATTATTCACAACTATTGCAGTACCCGCAGAGTGAGCACAAGCCCATAATGTACGGGAACCAAAACACACACTCATTCACCTTGAACCATTGCTTGTGTTTTAATGGTAGAGGAAACCGGAGCACCTGGAGGAAACCTACACAATCACAGGCAAAGTTCACACCTGGAGGTGGAATCCTTCCTAAACCTCATGTCTCTGTTTGATTTGTAATGTTTGTGGAGGAGGCGGAGCTTAATTGATCCAAAACTGCAGATCTGCATTTGTCGCAGCCGCAACTAATTGTTATTTTCGTGTTTAAACTTAGGGCTCTTTCCTCCTGTAGAGTGTCAAAACAGAGAACATTTTGAACATGTCATGTTCTTTAGGGTTTGGCGGTTAGACCCCGGCAGGCATATTGCATGACAGATGCAGGAGAGAGTTTAATGGACATCAGATTGTGAATCCCCCGAGGTCTACACCCTGGAAGGAAGCTGAGCTGATAACATTACCATTCTCCAGTAAAGAGGCGTGATGGGGAGGAGGAGGGCTGCTGCACATAGAGCAGCTTGATGCAAGGACTGAAAGGCTCTCTTTAAATGCAGCTATGCAGTGATGCTGGTGAGCACAGGTGCAGGTCTGTAGAGAGAGGACAATCTACAACACAACCTACAATTATTAGTTTATAAAAAATTGATCACATGCATTTGTCGCCCACATTAGCATTAGCATTTACATTAGCCCAAATTGTTCCTAATTATTATTGAAAACAATAAAATGTGGAGAGAGCAGGAGAGAGTTTATCTGAGCAACAATGTTGTAACGGTTTAAAACTCTGTTTTTTAAAAAGATTTTTAATGGGTTTTTACATAAAACTGACTGCTCTCTTGACACGCCTCCTGACCTGTGACCTCTGCCCCTGTCTCACACAGAGCTGCTGACCCTGACAGGGGCAGAGCTCTGGGGAGAGTGGACACACTGTCACTGACAACACAGTGAAGCAGACAGAGCACACACTAAAGTGTGTCTCTGTGTGAGCGCCACCCTCAGGCCTGGCACATACATGTCACTGCTCTACATTTACCATAGAACAATTCTGTTCAGGATCGCGATATTATTTTACAATTAAATGAATACAGTATTTACTTAAATAATGATGTTTCACTTTAGTGTTTTCTCTGTTTCCAGCTGAGATTTCTGTTCCTCTATGACGTCTGCTTGTTGTGACTCTATGATGTCTGCTTGTTGTGACTCTATGATGTCTGCTTGTTGTGACTCTATGATGTCTGCTTGTTGTGACTCTA